AGTTCTGAGGGCTGGGATTGTGCTGAACTGTCACTGTCCCTGCCTGAGAACCCTCTGAAATATTCTTTAAATAGCTCCGGGCCTTCATTCATCTGTCTGCGCTGTCACATGAAGCAGCACTAATTACTCCTTTTTATCAGAGCTGTGGCTTTTTTGGGACAGGACTGTGTTCAAAAGCAGGTGAGGAGGAGCACTCTCTCATGATGAAGCCACTGCCTTGGTGCTGTTCAGCTCTGTGTGCCACTGCTGGCAGCTGCCAGGAGGCAGAAGGGTGCAGACAACACGACTGCTGGTGGCAGGATCCCCTCCCAAAACCCCAGTTAGGAAACCCAGTGGGCTGTTTCGGTCTTTGATGCCAGTGCTAATTGTAAATACTCTTTCAGGGCCGTAGGACATACAGAGGATTGTTTATGCTCAGGAGAAAACTGGACCCGGAGGGCATGAGCACATCACACCTGAGCTCCCCCGCGAGACACAGCCGGGGAGAAAATAGCACCAGAGCTGCTGAGCAACATTTCCCTGGGTTCTGTTCCCATTTCCCTGGGAGCAGTGGAGCCTTTGAGCCTTTCCCTGGGGGTGTCTGGCTCACATCGAACCAAGGTCAGTGCTCAGAGGCTGCGGGTCCCCTCGGGGCGGTGACCCCGCGGATGCTCCCCCCGAGGGCTGGCCCGGGCAGTGCTGAGCCTCCTCAGCAGGGCAGGGATGAGCTCCCTGGGGAGGTGACAGCACAGCACAGCACAGCACAGCACCCTGGGGCCCAGGGACCTGAACAATCCTGCCTCATTCCCGGGGAGGCAGAGCAGGGGCCACCCGGGGCTCCGGGGCAGGGGGAGCTCAGCCCGTGCCGGGCTTGGTTTGTGACTCCCTTTGCAGCTGCCTTGGAAGAAGGGAAGGCAGGTGTTAGAGATTAGACAGCTCTGGAAATATTTCATATATCTCCAGATATGAAGAACTAATGCAAATAGCTCCCACCCCCCCTTTTTGTACTGCTCTGCTAAGTTTTGGGTCACCTTGCCTCCAGCAGCTTGGTTTCCTTTCTGTTCATTTTTTTTGCCCTTGCTGTGCCAGTGTCTGTGGCTGCACAGGGAGCTGTGAGAGGGTGTTAACTCCAGGCTCATCTCCTCCTCACCTAAAGTCAACTTCTCTGGGCCTCTACACCCCTCCAGCTGAAGCCCTGGGCTTCAGACTTCTGTGGGGACCAACATTACACCAGAAAATGTGGACTATAAAACATGGTGTTTATTATTAAACTCCCATCCTGTCATCTGCACAATATGTTTCTTTTATATATTGAATTTTCCTACAGCTGGAGTTTTTAACTGACAGACTCCCTGAATTTCATTCGTGGGTTCCTCTGTCATGTGCAGTGATTCAGGCTTACCTGGGGTGCACTGATTCAGGGATGCTCTTCATTTAACTTTGAGAAGTGAAATATCCAGATTATTTCCTGTAGTACTGTCTGTATCTGAGTTCAGCTTGTATTTGTGCCCAGCACTGAGTGATTAGAGTCCTTTCAGAGTTGGTATTTCTGTTCTACAAGGATATTTATACATTAATTAAGCCATACTTCAGCCTTACTTTTGATAAACCACCCAAAATATCCTCTAAGTCCTTTGGAGTAGGATTTTTTTCTCTCTGCACAACTTAGGTCATTTTCTTCTGTGCCTTTCAGACTTTTTTTTCAGGAAGAATAAAACTCAACCAAACAAAACTCTCTTTCAGCCAAGAGCTGATGGAGACGTAATCTGAAAGAAGGCAGAAATATGTTTAATTGCTGCCTGTGATGCCAAACCTTAAGTGCATTGCTTCAAAGGGAGGCCTGCAAAACTCCATTTGCCTTGCACGGCCCAGGCAGCAGAAGGGCAGGAGCATTCCAGAGCTGATCTCAGTGGTGTTGTCTGCTGGGGAATAATCCCATCCATACACCCCCATGGATCCAGCCTGTGGTTCTGCCAGCCCTCCCTGAGACAGTGCTGTGCTGGAAGCAAATGCAAAAATCCTTATCTGCTGGTTTTTTTTCCCCAGAGTCTCTGCCTTGTACCAGTGAAACTCTGACTTCTGACACACAACAAATGAGTTCTCCCTGGTTACCATTGGGAGCTGCTGACATCTCATTAGGGACAATATCTGAGTGTTCTTTCCTCAGCCCTTCCCCATTCCTGAGTCTTTTGCTACCAAGAACATTGTTGTGAATAACCCCATTTCTTACCCAGGGTATTTCTGGAGCAGTGAAGCCCCACTATAATGAACTGCCTGTTCTGTTGATGTAATGAGTTGAGCCGAGTTTCTTCTCTCCCTTTCAGACATTTTCCTGTGGCATATTGTTGTCTGTTCAGTGGGATAATTGGATATGGAAGAGAAGCAGATCTCCACTGAGCTGGTGTTTTCCAAGGCTCTTCTGTCCCGATGTGAACTGCTCCTGTGCTGCTGCCAGCGTGGGCTGGGGGTGCCCAGAGCCCCTCCTTTTCCATTTTGGAAAAATTAGCTTTGGAAATGGCAATTTGGAAAAATGATCAGGTTATCTGTTCTATGAGTAGTTGTTTTCTGTGCAGGGTGCAGCTGATGGAGCTCACCATGGAACCTGCAGGCCGTGGGGGACCTTAAGGAACCTTGCACGTGTTCAATAAACCTCAGCTTGTTGTGGTAAACAGAGAAGCCCAGAGGAGGAAATGTGGCACTGGATCCTGGGTGGGACTGGGCACAGCAACACAGGTGCCAGCTTGTGAGTAAAATCCAGCTGAGCTGCAGTGAAGTATGTGGAAAATATCACTTCTGTACCTCACAGAGGGTCATTTCTTAGGAGCAAAATATTCCGAGCTGAACCGGAGCATCCCTTGTCCTGTGCCCAGAGTAAAGGGAAGGCCTCGGGGTGTCTGCACTGCTGATCTTCTCCCAGTGCCACTGGGAGAGAAGGCAGTGGATGCTGAGCAGGTGCAGCCCCCAGAGCAGCCCAAACAGAAGGGCTTGTTTTCAGGCTCTCTGGTTTTCAGGGCCGTGGGCTGAGCTGATCCAGTGCCAGTAGCCTGTGCACAGGGCGTGAAGTGAAGCCAGTTGTGTTGTGTAACCACTGCCCCACATAGAGCACAGACCCTGAGGGCAGCAGAGGTGGTGGCAGCACTGCTGCTCCCCTGGACAATCCTCTGGAAATCAAACAGCAAACAGGCTTGAACATTTCCTCACTTTATTCCCTCTCTGGGAAGTTCTCTTATCCCCAGGGTGCCCATCCCTCCTCCAGTGACAGGGTCCCAAGTGCCTGCAGAATAAAGGTTTTATAAGATTATTGAGTTGTTTTGCTTTTTGAGAACCTCCAATGTGTTCTCCTAATGCACATTAGAACTGGGGAGAAGGAAAATATATCTGAGTTGGTCTGCAACGCTAAAACTGCTGAAGTCCTGAAGTTGGAAAAGTTTTGCTAAGAAAAAAGGGAAAAGGGACTTTCAAGTAATCTCTTGCATAATTACCCCCCCTTTTTTTTTTTTTTTTTTTAGTTATGCTTTAATATTTCAGAGCTGGATGCAGCTCTGGTGGATTTTGCAGACAAGTTGCCAGATAGCTCTGGGAGGATTTCCTGGGACATGGTGAGAGAGAATAACAGGCAAAGAGTTGGGAAGGAAAAAACCAGCCCCAGGAATGAATATCTGAATGTTGAAGACATGTGGACCAAATGGCCCAATTTTTGCTTTCCTCCGTATGAAGAACCAGAAGGTCAAGTTGAATCTCTTCGTTCTTGTGAGGACAGAAATTGTTCCTTGTGTCTTCAGCAAAATAAACCTGCAAAGTAGTCTCTGGGTTGTTTGTTTGGACTCTGCCCTAGCAAATCTGAGCCTAAAACCATTTAAATCATAGAATAGTTTGGGTTAGAAGGGACTTTTAAAGGGCATCGAGTCCAACCCCCTGCCATGAGCAGGGACATCTTCAGCTTGATTAGATTGCTCAGAGCCCTGTCCAGCCTGACCTTGGATGTTTACAGGGATGGAGCAGCCACAGCTTCTCTGGGCAACTGCACCAGAGCCTCCCCACCCTCGTTGTAAAATAGTCCTTCCTTAAACTCTGTAATACCTGGGGATAGATACAATAAAATGACCGAGCTGGGATTTTCTGGGCAGCGCCCCAGCCCCGGGAGCTGTGCTGCGGCACAGACCGGGAGACGTGACTCCAATTCCCGCTGCTCAGAATTCCCCAGGTGTCCCTGGGCAGTGAATCCTCCTCTCTGTGCCTCCTTTGGCTGCAGGGGGGCTGAGATCCCCGCTCTGCCTCCTTTGGCTGCAGGGGGGCTGAGATCCCCGCTCTGCCCCCCCGGCACTGGGGGTACCCGCAGGTGCCTCTCATCCTCTGCCCCGGCCTTTCTGCTGCTCTAATCCGACCGTCTCTAATTTCCACCCGGGGCACGCTGTGTTTTCCTGGCCGTGAGGTAACAACCTTCATTCCCAGCAGACTTCCCAAAGAAAGCTCCGATGACTCACGGAGGACAAATTTACGCGGAGCTCCCGGAGCGAGCATCCCTTGCGTTGGCAGAGGGAGTTTTTAAAGTGAGGATGAATCAGCGGTGTCAGACTTTGCTGGGAGTTGACTCTTGGTCCCTCTTCCCTGCAAACAACCCTGGAATTTTTTTTTTTACACTGAAGGAATTCCAGCCAGGCGTCCCTGCGGGATGCAGAGCCGTGGGCTCCGCGGTCGGGTTTGGGTACCAGCCCTGGCGTCTTTCCCCCTTTCCCTTGAGCATCCCGGCGGGCAGGTGGGCGGGAGAGGGTTAAGGCAGCCGGGAGAGGGTTAAGGCAGCCGGGAGAGGGCTAAGGCAGGCGATTCGCTGTTCCCTGCCTGAGTTAGCACTTCCAAGCGCCTCCAGGAGCGCTCCGGGAGCAGCCGCTGCATCCGGGCAGAGGGAGGAGGGACAGGCAGCCACTGCAGCAGGGCAGAGGATGTTACTTAACGTGGCTCCAGTCTCCTCCCCCTCGCCGGCTGGGCTGGGGGAAGGGGGGAGAGGGCTGTAGGGAAGGGATAAGCGGCGGGGGGGGTGATGCCGGGAGCTGCCGGAGCCCCCCGAGCGGAGCCCGCCCGCCGCAGCCCCGGGGCCGCCGGTCCCAGAGGGGGCTGCGTCCCCTGGAAGCCTCCTGTGACCTCCTGAGGTGAAGCTCGGGCTCAAAGCCCCGGGGAGAGGCGGAGAAGGATCTCTGCGGTGCTCCAGCATCCCCGGGGCCCTGGCAGCGGGAGGGCTGGAAGAACGGAGGCTCCCGGCTCCTGCATCCCGCCGTGGGAAAACTCCCGCGTTCCCGCAGGGGATGTGCCCGGGCTCACGGACAAGCTGCTGCTGGGTTTAGACACCTCGGGAGGAGAAGAACCTCATGACTTTGCTCAAACCATGGCAGAAACCCCCGAGGGGGCCAATCCTCAGTGCCTGGTGCTGATTTGTGCCTGAAGCCACCAGACCTGCCCAGGACAAATAAGAACCACCTGGGAGACGCACAGACACTTAATTTTCCTCAGTGAAAATACTGATGACACTCAGCTGAAAACGTGTGCTGATCCTGCCCCTTGAAAAGAGGGAAAGGAGCATCCTGGGAGTTTTGGGAGAGGCATCGTTGCTCCCTGAGGGTCTCCTCCTGCCCGCTGAGGATCTGTGGGGCACAGGAGCTTCTCAGAGCTGCTGGGCTCTGCTCCATGACTAACACAGAGGACGCTGAGAGAACTATGGACTCTCCTCCGGTGACCTCCAGCCCTGCACCAGGGCCTGTTACCTTCTCACAAGTTTTTGGGCAGCAGTGCCAGCTCATGGAAGCAGGTAAGAGAGGAATATGTACAGCTACCACCTTATAGCCCATCCCACCTCCTGGTTTGCAGTGTCCTTACTGTCCTTTCCCTGTCCTGTTTCCCAAGTTCTTCCCTAAAACCCGGTGTTTTCCAAAGGGAAAACTGGACCCCTGTTGCACTTGCACACCTGCCTCAGCTTCCCATGAGATCACTCCAAAGCTTTGTGCCCAAATAGTCACAAATACGAGCAAGGGTTGGGATGACTGTGTGGTTTTTGGTTAATGTGGACTGGAACAAGCTGCTCTTTCCCTGACAGTGGAAGCTGCTGTTGTGTTTTTGTGTGAACACAACACGTGTGGTGATTTTGCCATTTCAAAATCAGGGCACTCCAAGTGGAGGTTGGTTTGCTGGTTTGGAGGGTGATGCTGCAGCACAGAGCACCTCCAGGGGTGTGGGTCTCTGCTTTGGTGGTCAGGGCTATGAAGGACAAAGTGTTTGTTGTTTTCCATTGCTTTCCCTGGTTGTCTGTGTTATTGTAGCACCTGGCAGCTCTGATCCTTCCCCCAGTTGTTTTCATACATTTTTGAGTCTCTACAGATAGGCCTGGTTCTCTCTTCTCTGTGCCTTCTGGCTGTTAAGCAGGTGGTGTGTAACATGACTAATCCCAAATTTTCCATGTTTACCTCTTGTTTTCATTAATTGTTCTCACATTGGTGGCTCCTGGTGCTCTGAAGTACCAGTCCATGAAATGCCCCAGAGCTTTGTGCTTTCACCCTACTTCATACCTGAGTTCCCAAGTCTAATACATTGGATAAGGGATTTTACAAGACTTGTTCTCCTTTTCCTCTCCCTGCTGACAGGCAGCTCTGAGGATGGATGTGTTTGTTTACTTGCTGTGGAGAAAGCCTGGCTTTCTGCAATGATGCCATAACAACACTTGCTATGAATTTTTAGAGCTTAGAGATTGTGTTTTAGGCTTGTTTTACCCAGACCTACTGGTACTTTAATACTGTTTGTGCTGGTGCAGATACCTTAGCACAAATATCCTCCAAAATGTCCCATCCTCTTTTTCCTCTCTTCTCTCTTTTCTCCCCAGCCAAGCCTGCAACAAATGATGTTTGGATTGCATGTTTCTATTTCTGTGGTGAAATTCAAAACATCGTGTTATCAGGGTTTCCTGCAGATCTTTTTGCAACTTCTGCTGTGCCTCTTGCAGTACTTTCACAGGCTGAGCTGGGTGACTGTTAGCTGACAGCTAAGCAGTTAATCAAGCCTAAGTTCATGCAGCTGCCTCCAAGGTAATGTCAGGCAGATCTCCAAGAGTGTTTAGTATTAAACTTTCCTATTCCACGTCCTGGGATCAGTCCTAAGGCCGTGGATCCGTTGTGTTGGATGTTACCTGAAGAGGAGATGTTTGAGAAAGCCCCAGTCCTGGGTGAGCAGTTTGTTTCCCAAATTAATGAGACCAACCAGGTGGAAAAAAAACACAGGTGGTAATTTTAATTTGGTTTGCTTTTGCATGTCCCTTCTTAGAGGAAAATGCCAGAGAGGAAACCTGTGACTCCAGGGCTTTTGAATCCCACTGCAGTACCCAAGCAGAAGGTTTTCTTCCTTCTGGTGGATTGTATTAGTAGGATTTTCTAGGTGTTCTCTCAGGTACAAGGTGTGTACAATGTAAGGATGCCTGCCATGGATGCCACTGATATCTCAAGTGATTTAAGCAGATTATATGTGTTTTCTATCCTCATGGCAATGGTAATTTATACTCAGCACCCCTGAAAGCAGAGCTTCAGCTGATATATTTGTGGCTCTGTCTGTGGTCATAGGCCCTGGAGGTGTGGGCAGGAAGGATGCCCTGAGGAAACAGGAATGGATTCATGTCTGGGACACCAAACTCTGGTTATTTAGTTGTGTCCTGTGTCACTGGACAAATGACATTTGGGGTAGAGCCATAAAAGGGCTTCATGTTGTGTAGGGCTGTGCAAATTTAAACCATAAAAGCAGATCTTGCCCCTGTGATTCTCTCCAGTGACAATCCCTGAGGAGCTGTGAGGAGTCAGTTCTGACCCAAACAGCCCAAATCTCACAGGAAACACTTGCAGACCCCCCAGTGCCACATCACTGGCATTGGTGACATTTGGGCTTCTTAATAACCCTGTGATGTGCTTGAATGATAAAGGTCTTGGCCTTAATTAAATGTCAGATGATGTGCCTGGAGAATTGCTGAGCTCCAGATAGATCACAGGCTCGACAGCACCTCTGATGCCCCACCTGGAACGAGCTCATGGGTTTTGTTGCTTCTGCCATTGGTATAAGGACTCTTCTCCAAACCCCTGTGAGAAGAGCTGGGCTCTGCTGGCAAAACATGCCTGGGGGGGTTGTGGCATGATCTGTTCTCCATGGAGAAGAGCAGAGGGTGTGTGACACCCCCTTGCAAACGTCTCCCTTTCTCCCAGTGCTGCTCTTCAGTAACTTGCTCTGCAAACCAAAAGCTGAATGTTGGAAAGTTAACCTCCCTCCTCCCAACTGCACCTCGTCCCCATCCATGGAAACTTGGGAAGTTCTTCTGTGCAGCTGATTCTGCACAATTGGCTGATTATTCCAGCACAGCCTGTGGAGATTTGCACAATCACAGTCTGAGTCTGATGATGGTGTTATCACCTGGCAGCCCTGCCCCAGAGCTGCTTTGCCCTTTGCACAAGTACTTGCTCTTTGTTTACCCTCTGGAGCACTGTTTGCTGGCACAGCACATGGGATGCTCCTTGGAAAGTTAAATTTCTGTCTTCCCATCCTGTTATTCTGCCCCTTATCTCACCAATTTACTGCACCTCAATAACTCTGTGTGCTGGGATGTGTTCCCTCTGGTTACCTGGGTGTTTATTTGCCATGAGCACAGGGAATAGTGCTCCCTGCTCTGGGAAGTCACTGACAAAATTCCAGCTTCCCAAGGCAGTAAATCCTTGCTGTTGCAGGCATTAAATATGAAAGATCTGTCATTGTCACCTGGGGACATGGCCACATTTAGAGGGAGTTTGATTTCCAAAGAGGGGCTGTAATTCCTGCCTGGGGTGGCTCAGGGAATAAGGTTTCTGTTTTGTTGGCAAACCATGTAGGTTGGTTGGGGTTTTGCCTTGTCCAGCCTGACTACAGGGCTGGTGATTTCCAAAAGCAGTAATTGGGAATTAGGCTGGATTCATAGCCCTGTCCTAAATCTTCCTGATCCCGGGAGAAATTCCCCTTGGCCAGGCAATGCTGGAGGATCTTTCCTGCTTGAAGCACAAATTTGAATCTGGCACAGGTACATGGTATAAATTTTACCAGTACCAAAATGAAAGGCCCTAATTTTTAATTGTAGAAGAGAAAGAAAAAGGTCTGAAAGATTTATGATTGGCATGACCAAACTTAAAAATGAGGGTGACTGAGAATTTGAAGGGTATTTCCCCTCTGTTCTCCCATGAAATATTGAATATGTGAAATGAGCTCTGATCTCAAGGAGAGCTGAGGGCTTTCTGGAAGAATTAGGCTTAGCAGAGAAACCATTTATTTTATACATGGGCAGATTCCAAGCAATTTGTTTGGTATAATGCAGTTTTCTGGATTCACCATCATGCATTATTCTCTGACTCACTGCTCCATTAGATTAATTGTCATTTTCCATCAATTCCTTGGCTCACAGACGCTGCTGATTTTTTTTTTAGGCTCCCAATATTTTTTCTTTATGTCTTGCCAGTTAATTTTCCTTTGGTTATGAAATAAGGACCTTGATTGAAGATGTGGCCAGAACAAGCAAGAAAGCAATTTGAAAATCATCCAGACTCTGGGATTCTGCAGTGAATCTTTTCCATATTATCTTTCCATTACATATCCATCATCCAGCACTTGCAGGCTGTGTCCCACCCTGGTGGCTGCTCCCCAGGTGGATGTGAGTTTGGTTTGAGTTTAGCAGTGCCACCAGGCACTGAGGGAGATGTCACAGAGTCCCAGAATGGTTTGGGTTGGAAGAGACCTTAAATCTCATTCAGTTCCTCTCCCTGCCATGGGCAGGGACACTTCCACTAGCCCAGGCTGCTCCAAGCCCTGTCCAACCTGGCCTTGAACACTTCCAGGGATGGTTCCCATCAGATCCTTGCTGCTCCTGGGTTTCCTGTAGTACAGCACTTCAGAGCTCAGGCTCCAGCTCTGAGAGCATCTGATTAAACCTTTAGTGACAACTGTTCTTTCCTCCCATGGACAGCAAGAAAAAACAGCATAAAATCTGCTTGGATCTGTTGGTCTGAGACCACACAGAATCCGGGCTGGGAATGTGTTCCCTGGTACTTAGTGCATCAGGTTTCCTGTGTGCATTAGTCAGTAATAAATCTTTCATGGTAACAAGCTGTTTATTTGCTCTCCCAGGAGAAGAGGGGGGTGTGGATAGCGAAGATGTTTTCAAATATGACTCAACAGCCTGGGTTAATTGCTGTGCCTGGGGTGAGGGTTCCTGGTTTTGGGAAAGCAAGAGGCAGGAGCAGGTATCAGGTGGGTGGAGTGAGGTGGATTTGGTGATTCCCAAGGGCTTGGTCTGCCTGGGTGGGGGCACCAGTGACATCCTGGGTGACATCAGTGACTTGGAATGCTCAGTCATGGAATGGTTTGGGTTGGAAGGGACCTAAAAGCTCATCTAATTCCCACCCCCTGCCTTGGGCAGGGACACCTTCCACCAGCCCAGGTTGCTCCAAGCCCTGTCCAGCCTGGCCTTGGACACTTCCAGGGATGGGGCAGTCACAGCTTCTCTGGGTACCCTGTGCCAGGGCCTCCCCACCTTCACAGGGAGGAATTTTTTCCGTTTTAGGTATCCAGTTTAGGTATCCAACCTAAATTTCTTTCAGTGTGAACTCTCTACTCCTTGTCCTGTCACCACAATGCAGAAACCCGAGGGTGTTGTGCTGCTGGCCAGCCCTGCAGACACCTGGAAGAGAAAACTGCCTGCAGCATCACAGAATTGCCTGTTACTCTGTTGAGATTTCATGGGGTACAAATGTTGAGTTTTCA